TTTTCCTACACACGAAGCAAATCCTACAGAGAAATGGCAAATCTCAGTTTGAGAAAGGCCGAGATGGAGATCCCCGAATGCCATCTTTGAGTCAAAAAACTAAAGCCTCTTTCCACCGAGCGCTCCACAAAACCATTCCCTTTAGTCTTAAACAAAGAAATAACTTGGTTAGAACTAAAAGGATCCTGAAGAAGAAAAGAAACACCACAAGAATTTGAACTCTGGGTTTCCAGGGGGTATTTTTCCACTGCTGCTACGTTTCCTTATCGCCCTTTGTCTTCTGTGCTAACATTTACACCTAGGTCCCGGGCTGGAAGTGTGTACCGGAGGGCAGGCTCTGCGAGCCGCCCTGGCAAAGCAGAAGTGCTGCAGGAGCCAGCCAGGCGCCTCACATTTCACATGGGGTCCATCAAGGTCACCGTCACACACCCGGTGTATGTGCGGACAAACCACGCCGACGCACCTGCCTGGAGATCCCCAACTCGAGGAAGAGGCAAAGGGTGCTTGTACATTTGCAGAGGCAAGTTTTCAAGGGAACTTAACGAGCTTCAAGAGCCCCAGAGGCCTAAAAATCACCTAATATTACACAAACATGTTAAATCTTCCCTGAGTGCCAGAATTTGTCAGCTTTCCCCATTAATGAGCACAGAAAAAAAACACGCATCAAAAGGAGCATTAATTTACTGAAGAAGGCCAGGCTGGCAACGACAAGCCCAGGTGTGTGTGTGGATTACATGCAGAATTTCGCAAGTATGACATCACGCAAACCTCAGCCCACAGCGAGAACATCAGAGCTGGGGAAGGGTGGGGGGGCTCGTGAGATGAGCCCAGGATGTTAGGTTTGCCGAAACACAACCCCCGAGGCCGGCAGCAAAGGGCAAGTCGGGTCAGGAGCATTAAGCGGGGTGCTTGTAATACAAGACCTTGGAAAAGACGAACACAGAGGCTGTGCGTTAGCCAGGGCAACGAGCAGCCAGGGTTCAGCTGTACAAAGGCACAGCAAGCAAGGGATTTTAACGGGTTTTAAAAGAAAAAAAGGGTTTTAAGAAGCACCCAAGAAATCCCAGCATGCAAACAGAACGACCACCACTTAGTACTTTGTGTTTTCCAAAAAAATGAAGCAATCCACTCTCGATGGCAACCGTTAATTCGCATGTGCTGCAGGAGCGGCGCACGCAAGGTCTCCGAGCATTCCTAACGTGATGGCTGTCTGTTAATTAGCTATTAATTGGGATGCATCGACACCACCTGGGTATCTCAGCCCTGGCTGCCCGGTCAGCCTTCCCGCCGCGCTGCCTGCGGCTGCTTTTCCTCCCTCTGCCCGTTAATGAGGATGTTAATCAGGAAAGCGAGAGGCGGCCGGGAGCGGGGCTGGCCCGCCCCACCGCCCGG